TTAGATACGTTGGGAGAGCATTATCATGCACGTCGCCTTTTCTATCGATAATTTTCATCAGACGAGAGTGTTCTGAAAAAGAAACGACACACAATTGACAAAGATTGTTACTTTGGAGAAAGAATCAACGCGTATTGATGAGATTATCATGGTTATTTCTGTCCAGACCAAATTTCGTCGTTTTTACTGCACGTTAGTCTGCAGAAATGGTGCTGGGAATTGCCTGACGGCGCCTCGAATCGACTTTGAATGCGTCTTACTGAGCATTCTTACTGAGCTTACTTTCGTGCTCGTCAAACTGCTCTGCACGTCATCTGTGATGACAATCCGAGTTTGTGGCGTCTAAATTGGAACTAGGAGCATTCTTTGCAATTGGTCTAAATTGTCTCGTAAAAATGGTACGTGCAGAAGCGTCAATTACGTGCACGTAATTCGGTTTCGAAAGGGAAAGCCGAATAAGGGGGTGCAAAATTGCCCTAAATCAAATCGATAATCGTGATACACGAAAGAAAATAAAAATTGCCGTAGATTTCTAAAACAAATGAGCGTCCTAGAGCAGTCCATTGCAAAGATACGAGAAACGGGTTTTTCATGTTTAATTTTTTATTGGTTTTTATTGCATGTAATATCTTGAGGGAAATTAGTTGAATGTGACAATATATTTTTGTCAACGAATTTTGACGCTAAATTTAAATAGGATAAAGTTGAAATTGATTTCTAACGTGATAGCGTTGGGGGATTTTCTAAATTTTCTCTAGAATGTGTCTCATAACATTCTATAACATATATTTTTAAGATTTTTAAACAATGTGGATGATATTGAAATATTAAAAATGTATCAGCTTAAAAATTTGAAATTATCTCCGAAATTTAGAACTTATTGCTGACAAATGTTTGATTTTTATGTGGAAAGTATGTATATTATCGAAATAAAATCATCGAATCTCTTTTGTCTTAAGGTTAATGTTTATAGTATAAATCAAATTACTTGGTTTTAGGTACATTAACCATTCATGTTTATTATATAAATCAAATTACTCACGTTTATTAATTATTGACAATTATACAATCACAGAGAATTAATCATTGTCAATAACTGGGATCAGGCGTTCGTTTATAAACAGTCTACTCAAAATGTCTGACGGTTTAACAATTTTTCGTCAAGCGTGTGCCAAATAAATGAATGAAAGGAAATGTTGGAACAGAATCCCAGGGTGCAATTATCATTCGCGCGTTCACAATAACACCGCTTCACACACGATTTTCTCGCGGTGGAAAGAGATGGGTGGGATAGACTCCTCCATTGCATCGGGTTTTGCTCGTTCTGCGCAAAAACAGTTAGCGTCACGAACCACGTGACCACAACACGAGTACTTCATTTGAAAAGCAAGATCAGACGTTGACCCCCATGTGACATGGAGAGCGAGAAGTGCTGAAATATATTTTGAAAATGGCATTAAGTGACAATTTTCAACGGTTACCAACCCAAAATAACGCATTGAAGGTGTAATTCAAATAAAAGATGCAATATTTAAAAATAAAAATGTCTCGTTTCAGCACAATTCTAAGCAAAAATCTTGAATATAATGCTTTTAAACCTGACACATAAATAAAGTTATGCAGTTAATGAAAAACATAGCAGAAATATGCAATTATGCAAAATAAAAATGGGCTACTTTTGTTTTACTTGTGGTAGTAGGTAAATTTATATGCATTTCCTTTCGATATGCGGAATCAGAAAAACCGCAATTGTATGAAGTTCCGCAGTCTAAAAACGAGTAAATGGAGATAGATTCAATACAATTTTTTATGTGAGTGGAAAGAGGAAAATCGATTAAAAATAACACGATCTTTTCCTTATTTTTACCAGTGTGTTTAGCTGAAAATTAACTGTGGTTTGTGGGAATGAGATAAGACACTTGCGGCCACTTGTTTTCGTTTCCCGACTGGCACACGTTAACCACACAAAGAACGATCACGTCATAATATCAAAACAATGTGCTCCCCCGGGAATAAAAACAAGTCAACTTTCCCTAATGCCAGCTTTATTAATCATACATAATACATTAACTTTACGGAAGAGAGGCCAAAGATGTAGGTGCATTCCTCAGGGCATCAACTGATGTCGCTGCCTCTTAGCTGGAGGTCCTAGGGTTCGAGCCCAGACAGTGGCTAGCTAGAGAGCTTAGTCGAGTTCAGTCGCTGTCTGGCGGAGAATTCTAGAGGCCGGCTGCTCTGATTGGTAGCTTTCCGTGGGTTTTCCAAACAACACTACGTGAATGCCACGGTAGTGCCCTAACAAATGGGCCACGGACCGGACGCAATTGTTCCTTCCTCTTCCTGGTCCTAATTTCCTTCCCTTACTCACATACACTTTCTCTTCATGCACTGCACTACCACACATAAGAGGAGCTTAGAGCTTGACTCGGGTGTGATGGTGCCACACTGATGGGAGGTACCTGGTTGGTAAAATTCCTCTAGCTGACTTGTAGGTCGGCGTCTGATCTCACCATCCAAATGGGGTATTATCTACCCTTCCGAGGAACAACACGCACTACACTTACGGGACTAATGATTTTAGCAGTTGACGTGTCCGGAAATATGAAATAATCTGTCAATCAACCGTAGCTACATTTTGGGGAGCCTCTGATTGACATTTCCATCTTTAATTTTCCTGGCGTCCCAATAACTTACTTTCATGTATGTAAACTTCAACTCTCTGGAAGGCTTCAGCCAAACGGATAGCCAATAGATTTAAAAATAATAATTTTCCATCTACAAATGGGTGGGCGTCCTGATTGGGGCACACTTGTTCGGAGGCCCCACCGCAGGTTGCCTATCCTTCGCATGACTGCGTCCATAAAAAGCAATGCGATGTGTCTAGCGGCATCTAGCGGCACGGCCGAGAAACACGTGAAATGCCATGGAAAGACAGCCACTGACGTGCCACGTTATAAAAATCGAAGAATAGCGATGCCCTTGAGTGTACGATGCTTAGGTACGCCTTTGAGGCTGTTTCCTACACAGTATTTGAGTAACTCCGAGTGGCGTGTGAGCAGATCCGTCACTCACGGTTAGACCAATCGAAACATATGAGGTGTCATTCAACGCGTCTAGCTTTTCTAATGTGGAACTCATAATTTGTTTTTCGATTTGGAAAATTCTGAGAAAATTTTCCAAAAAACTGTTTTTGTATGTTTTAGTCCTACAATTTTAATAGATAGACGAAGAATTAAACCAATAACACCACATAAATAGATCTATGTAGGTGGCGTTGATTGGCTTTGAAATACAGCATTCATTGAGTTCTCTGTTTGAAATAACACATTTTGAATATTTTCTTTATATTTTGTGGGTAATACTTGTTTAATCGTAATAAAATCTTTTTGGAATACTTCAGAAGAGCAACAATCTTTTTATAATAACATTTAAAAACAACGAGTTTCAAGCAGTTTTTTGAGTGAATGTACTGGTGTCTCAGACAAAGCGGGAAATCCTTAGAAACGAGTTGAGAATGGCAAAACGAACATTTTATGACATGACAGTTTTTTCGACAGTCGAATACTTCATGTGATATACAATTTTTTTAATAATTTGTATTCAAAACTACAAACGATTATACCATTTCTTAAAAATGTCTCTTCACGTATTCATTTCAATCAAAAAATATTTACAATTATTTTTAAATTTTGATTTTTATGGCACAAAAAGGGATTTGGATAATGCAGGCACAAGTACAACTTTTCATAAGTGCTGGGAAAGCGCGAGTGATGAATAAAAAATAGATACTCAAGGTCTCGTCATAAACTACATTATTTTGATATTCTCTAAGCAGAACACCGTAATTCAGAGATGTATAGTGATGTCGACGTTGTGTAAAGAATACCGAACGTAATTATAATTGAATGATATTTTATTGCAAAAGACTTCTTGAAATAGGAAAGGAATAATATTATTAGAGGATGGGGATATAAATTAAAATAAACATGTGACTAATGAGCATCAATATCTTAATTTGTATTTAGTTAATACGTTTTGTTACTGAGTTAACTGTACATTTTATTTCCGTATTCAGTTAGTAGACGCTTTCAATAAACGACCTAACAATCCAAAATTTTATATCATAGCATGGGTTTATGAGCATGTTAATTTGGAAAATCATTCACGCATCAATTAAAACTTTAAACGGAAAAAATTGATCGGCAATAAATTCCTTCACACTGCGGGATTGATGGAAATAAAACTCGTTATATCTTTGCAAAAATATTTTCTTTATGGGATGAATTGGGAAGTCACAATTCCATGTTTTGTAGAAAATGTCACAAAATTGTCCTCTAACTTTATTTTCAAGAAATATTGCTGGAATTTTCTCAGTACTTGCAAACACAAATTGCTCAACTTTTCTGTATATGACATTTTGCCAACTTAGGAAACTGCAAACCACCCTAGAAACTAGAGAAATGAATTTGGAATTTTTGTTAGCGTAAGATGTGTTGAATCATTTGTGCAGGAAACAATGCATTCGTCCGAAACGTTAAGCATGTTAGCTCCGAAATTTCTCAAATTATATCGTCGGTTTAACAGATTCAGATTTTCTGAATAATTTTTTTTCCATCAAATTTTTTCTAAATTTTGACTGGGTTCATATTCACGAATATGTCAAAGAAACACTAAAGTTGGGGCGTAGTTTTAATTTTCGGAACAGAAGATAGGTAACAGCAGTAAGGTCGGGAAAGCAAAATATGGTCCCTACCGCAGTTTCGCAAAGAAGCATTCCACATCCTGGGGATGTGGATCGCCACCGGAATGTTGCATATACTTCCTCACTTGACTTCTCAATCTTGCACAGAAAGAAAATCTCCCAACAAAGACGCAATCACTCCGACAGTCACCCGCTGTGAATGCTTTTGGTCCCTGCTCGTCTGGTCTCAACTCCAGCAGCCACTCGCCATCTTCTTCGCAACGAACAAAGAATAATTTCTTCTAATCGTACTTCGGAGCGCACGCATTGACTGAGACAGTCGTAACGCATAGTTGTCAATGACAACAGCAGTGCGCGCGAAGGCAGCTCACTGACAGAACGTTTATGCGAAGAGAAATTGTGTGATAATTCAGTCTCTCAGCCTTTTTCTCACACGAAATCTCCGTTCAACATACGAAGAGGGTATTGACACATGCAAATTCCGAGATTTGACTTGAAACTTCGTATCGCATAGATCCAACGCAAGAGCATACAGAGAGCGAGAGGAGGCAGGACCCAGACAGAACGTTTGTGCGAAGAAAACATGTGTGGTAGTTCAGTCTCTCAGCCTTGTTATCCCGGAGATCATTACCAGCAGTTGAACGCACCAAGATGTGTACGTTGGAATATGTGAATTGTACACATGTTTTCAAATTCCTGTACATATATTAAATTCCAGCTGAAAATTTCATGAGTAGTGAGCTGGCAGTCCACAGGCAGAACTTTTTTTTTCGAGAAAACACTGTGTGAAAATTCATCCTTGATGGTATCTCGAGGTCTTTGCCATCAGTGCAACGTACAATAATGAACTTTTTCTCGAGAAAAAGCGCGCGTTAATTTAATATATCAGTCGTGGCCCATAAATCTTCGCCCCAAGTTCCAAGAGAATTAATCCATAAGAAAACTCACGGATGTATTACGTGTGAAATCCGTAAAGCTAACCCGAAGATCCGACGTCGCCTTTACAGCTCGAAGATGCTCGAGGCAAACGGATTGCCTGGAAACTCAAACAGCCCGCGAGATAATCCTACACGTTGAATCTCCTAGCGCCAATTCCTTCTTTCCTCTTCCCCCTCCTGTTTTCCTCCTCTGCCCATGAGGGCGCAGGTGCTCATCACTCCGCTGCTGGCGCTCCTGGCGGCGGGAGCAGAAGCAAGAACAGGCAGGATATTCCATCGTCCTCTACCTTTACACACGACGTCACCTGTAAAGAAATGCTGTGGACTCTTCAAGATGCTTTCAGGCGATGGAAGACTGTGTGTGAAAACAGAATGGCCCAACAACACGAACTTTCGCCGCGACAGACGTTTCCCGCTCACCTTGTTGATTGGTCGGAAGGAAGACGATTGGCTTCGGCGATGGCTGCCTCCTGGAATTCGGAGTAAGAGTGTGCGGAGGATCAGGGACAGGTACCGTCAGTACATAAACCAAACGGGAAATTTGGGCATCGCGGATTTCTCGACCCAAAATGTTTCCATTGACGATGACTACTTAATGAGACCAAAACCAGGAGGGGGTAGCCGCGCAGCTGACTACTGTGTTGACGCTGCCCAGCCGCCAATGGGACCGTTTGCCTTGCTTTTCCACACGATATGCATCGACGAGGAACGCACCAGAAAGTGTTGCGTCAACGGGCAAGCGTTGGTGGAAAAGAAAGGGGACTGGATGTGCGAGAAGGACGAACACGGCTACTGGTCTCCGGTGAACTCCTCCTTTACAGACATATTCGATTCGGAATTTCCGAAAGAATGCAAAATCACCAACTCGCCGTGCGGATACTGTCGGTTGGCAGCCCCGGATATCTCCCGTCATTGGGCTCTCTCCAGCAAAAACCAGCATATATTCTCCACGCGACTACCGTGCTTTGACTACCGACGCGACAACGGGAGCGTGGAGGAACGAATCTTCTACTGCAAGTATTCCAGTGCGGCCAAAGGCCTCTATTGGCTGCTGCGGCCACTCTGCGTTGTTTCCGCTTTGCTTCTGATGGTATCGCTAGTGTCTGTGATGTGTGTCCTGAGCTTGCGACGCAAGCCTCACGGGTGGTGCCTTGCCAACCACGCCGCCTGCCTCTTCGCTTTCAATACGGGGCAGGTCGTGTACTTTGTGACGATGAGTGACGCAATAGACGCAAACGAAAAATTCAGCATACCTCCTCATCTCCAGGACAGTTGCAGACATTTTGGTAAGAATTTTTGCGATCAACTACTGCTTCAGAACGAAAACTATTATTATTATTATTATTATTATTATTATTATTATTATTATTATTATTATTATTATTATTCTCTTTGCGAGTCGGCCGACTGGGACCATGCATGAATCCGGCATTTACCGTGACTCAGTACTATTATCGCTGTGGTAGGTGCATGGAACTTTAATTTGAGTCCAGCATTTAGCTGAGTCAGATTTTTATTCCTAAGGGTAGTTAGACCTAGGGGTATGGAAGATGAAATGATGATGGTAATGAGGGTTTAAAGGACGACACACTCATACTGACATACACAAATACACTCATGCGCGAGGCGAGACTCGAACCCGCGATCTTCTGGTCCGAAACGACTACGGCTCTACTGCCTTAGCGATCTCGGCATCTGATCGGAATTATTATTATTATTATTATTATTATTATTATTATTATTATTATTATTATTATTATTATTATATTATTTCTGGAACTAACTTTTTTGCCATAAGAGCTTGTATTGCGAGTCTCTGTTACTTACAGAATGGATAATTAAGGCTTCCAAAAGTTATTAACTTTCTGTAGTACGTCGTGCAGTCAAAATCCACGTCTTGTGGATCCTTGACATCGAAAAATTGGTTTACGTCCGTCTCTACATACGTCATGGGTGTTAGCATGCTGGAACTCCTGACTTTGGTTTTGTCCCTCTGTCCTAAACAAAAGAAAAAAACTCTTTCACTTTATCTCGAAGCTGCGCGGTGCTTTAAGTCAATGAACTGTTGGATTTTCAAATGACTCCACTCCTCGTGGAACCAGTAGGATTGTGTTTACTTGCGCGCTCTATTTCTACATCCTAATCTTACTACTAATAACTTAAAAACAGACGTAAAAAAGACATAAGAAAAGACTATACAATATGTTCATATCGTCGTGTTATAAAATACAATACGTTCATAATATAATATTTGTATTAACAAAATTGTATATCAATATGTGTCTAATTACGAAAAAAGGAACAATAAAAACTAAAGACTAAATGATAAGTAAGAAACAACAGTATAGAATAAGATAGATTCATTTTTTTTTCTAAGGTAACTTAAGGATAAAATAAATGAAGAACCGTGCACAAATATGACGGAAACGATTCCCCAGATGTTCCCAACAATCTACGATTATCGTAGCTATTGATATGGTTTTAGAAAGGTTGTGATTTGCTATTGCTTTCTGTAATAGTATATTCGTAAATAATTTCAATTATATTTTCATAAATATGTTTTATTTGAACACAAATACCTTAATAGACTGAATAAATAGAACAATAATTATTTATAAAATGAAAAGAAAGAAACATTTTAATCCTACGTTCCAGGATTTGTAAAAATCTCTCTTCTCATTATTATTGTAGAATACATACAGAACGACAGGAAACAATATTTGATGGGTTCCGATTTTCCAATAGTACATAATATAATTTAATACTTTTCTGTTGCAACCTTTCTTCATCATATCGTTTTGTGAAACGTTTCAACTAGTTCAGCACTATTTTAGCTGTTTTTTCAAATTAATTTATAACGACTGCTCATAATTCGAATGTATCTAAATTGTACTTAACCATATCCTAATGCTCATGTTTTACTAATATTTTTTTTTAATGTTTTTATAGCACTTTGGATGTATTTCCTGCTGACTGCGGCGTGGTTTTGGCTTACAGCCCTCTGTGTGAACATGGCGTTGGGCTTCAGGTAAGGTGTTTCCTGGAAGTCGCTGAATAAGTTTTCTCCCCCCCTGTGGAGTCCCGGCATATGTGGTAGTGAAGTGCATTTAAGTGTAAGCAAGGGTTGAGGATAGGATAAGGAAGAGGAAAGAAAGATCGTGCGCGGTTTGTTAGTGTACTGCTTCGGCATTCGCCTGGTCTTGATGGGAGAAACCACGCAAAACTCCCGATCATCAGAGCATCCGCGCTATAATTCTCCTTCAGACAGCGACAGACCTCGGCCTAGCGTCCTAGCAAATGTCGGAAATCCTGCCATCGCCGGGACTAGAACCCTAGGACCTCCCAGTCAGAGGTACTGAAGTAACATCAGTTGATGCCCTGAGCC